CCCACACCACCATCTCTATCCATCAAAATCATCCTGGCACACCCTTTCTATAAAATACTTGATTTCTATTGGCTACTCTCAGCCAATAGGATTTGGAGATGAATACAGCTCAGATTTGAACTCTTCGCCTTGATTTACCTTAAGAAAGTCGTTTTTTCTATAACTTGATTTCTATTGGTCCCTGCTCAACCAATGGTATTTCAAGGCAAATGGATGACAGATTCGGATTCTCCGCCCCAAAAAACCTCGAAGTGTAATGTTCGTGATCGGAAGGTAAAGCTTCATTTTCGGATCCACTAGAGCGTGAACGAAAACAGAACCTATTTCCGTCTGATTATCTCGGCAATAGGTGAGTTAGCCTTCGTGTTTCATTATGTTTTATATACCATTTTGTAGCTCGTAAAATTCTCTATCGAATGGTATATAATAGTTGGGGTTTTGTTTGAGTATGATAGGAAAAGTCTTTTGCGAAAGCGGCAATGGGTCGATTTTTCCATAGGAAGCTATAGGGAAAAATGGGTATTTTTGCAATAACTCAGGAAGGGCTCGGCCAATCCTTCTCATCTTTGAACTCGACCGAGATATTGTAAAGACTGAACTGTATAAAAAATTTCATCGTGATCGGACTCTCCTTTCGAAAGTTATCGTGTAAACGGACGGCCGGACATACTGACCGATTCTACAGTGTACTCACTTTTTGAGTACACAAAAACTGTCGTTTAATGAAATTTACAAACCTTAAATTTATTAACAATTAATTTATATTGATCAAATGAAACTTCCATATTTAATGTATCATTCATTGATCGTTCAATAGTTGTCATCCATGTTTCAACAAGATGAAATCTAAATAGAATATCTTTAATTTCTTATATATTTTCTACTTATTTTTAAGAAAAACAAACTTTTCATCAAATTCTTGCCATTTTTTTGGTATTGTTTGAAGTTTTCTTCTAACATTATCAATTTTTGCTTGCATACGTGTCCAATAATCATTTAATTTTGTTGTACGTTGATCAATTTGTTCATTTTCATAATGAGTATTATCTGTTTCCTTTGAACGTATATCATTAGCAAATAAATGTAAATTTTTCATATGTGTTTCTATAGTTGGTTGAAAATTATTTAATTGAAAATGTTCATTATGACGTCGTAAAATTAATGTTGCATCATATTGTTTTTCTAATTGATTAAGTTCATCATTAAGTTCATCTTCAGCTTGTTTTAATTCTTTAACAACAATATTTTCAATACGTTCATATTGTAAACGTAATAAACGTATTGGTGCATAACATATAATTGTATTCCATTTTGATTCAAGTGTATCCATAAGATATTGAATTTCTTTTTGTTCAATTTGATCACGTATATGTAAAAGTTCACGACCTGATTTAATAAAACCATGAAGAATTTCATCATCAACTATTTGAAAAAAATTCTTATGTTTTTGTATAAGATAAGCATAATCATCATGTTTTTCTTTAACAATATTTTGTGCTTGATCTATCCATTCTTCAAGATGTTTTAAACGTTGATGAAAATCTTTCCATAATTGTGAATGTAATGTAAATTCTTTTTCCCAATAAGATACTTGATGAGATATTTGCTAGGAAAGAACAGTTATTATTATTATTATTTTTTTGTTATGAAAAAAAAAAAAAAGAAAAACATACTTCAAATATATCAGTTAATTGTTTATATTGTTCATCAATAGAAGTAAAATTTAATGGAATTATATTTTCATTTGATTTTTTCATTATTGTTATTAATTTAGATTTGCTTTCAAGTAAAGATTGATAGTAACCAATATCAGCAAAGAAATTCTGAAAAAAAAAAAAAAAAAAAGAAATCAAAATATTTGAAATATGTAAATATTAACTAAAATATTTACTCGATGTTGTTCAAGAAAATCTTCAATACGTTTAACAGGTACTTGAATTGAATATCGACTAATTAATTGATTAGCTTCATTAAACCATTGTTGACATTTTTGTAAACCATCATCAAATTTTTGTAAATGTCCAAGTATAATTTTATTTCGTTTTAATGTTATGGGTATATATTCTTGTACATGACGTAATTTATCAAAACATATTTGTAAAAGAGAATTCATTTCAGTTGAAGCATTTACTTCACCACTTTCACGTGCTATTGTTTGACTTAATTTTGAAAGTACTTGAATTGTTTGATTAAACATATCTAATTCAGCTTGAGCATCCTTAAAATAGAATATTTCAAAAAAAAAAAAATATATATATATAAAAGAATTTTATTCTTACATAAAAACGATTTTCTTGTTCTCTAAGTGCTTTTATTGTACATGGTAAATGATCTTGCCTTTCTCGATCAATTTTATCTAATTTATCTAATAATTTTCCACGACCAGCNGTGATGCATCAATTATAAATAAACAAATTTCACTTGAACATTTAACAAATTTAAATGAACGTCTTGATATAATAATGAATGGTAGTGAAGAACGTGGACGTTATTTAGAGTTTGAAGAAATACGTTGGAAAGTACAAAAAATATTTGTACAATTAGAATTTTTTATTATGGAATTAAATAAAAAACAAGGAGATATTAATCAAACAGAAAAATTATATAATGAATAGCAAGTATGTAAAGAAATTGAAGAGAGAAAAAAAAAAAAAAAAAAAAATAATAAGAAAAAAAAATAAGTAAAAAAAATGAAAAAAGAAAAAAAAAAAAAAAAAAAATTTTAATTTTAGAGAAAAATTTATGATGAAAAACTTCATCTTAATATTGAAAGTTTATTACCAGAATTAATTCGTAGAGCACAATATTATAGTCAATTAGGAAAGAAAGGTTTTCTATTGCTTGTTTTTTTTTTATTTATTAAACATATTTAATAGAATATTTTGTTTGTTTGTTTTTTATTTAATTCCATAATAAAAAATTCTAATTGTACAAATATTTTTTGTACTTTCCAACGTATTTCTTCAAACTCTAAATAACGTCCACGTTCTTCACTACCATTCATTATTATATCAAGACGTTCATTTAAATTTGTTAAATGTTCAAGTGAAATTTGTTTATTTATAATTGATGCATCACGTTTTATGCGTTGAAATGTTCTTAACATAGCTTCTTTATCATTAAATATCGCCTAAAAACACGAATAACAATAATAAAGGATACTCTCGAATAAGATAACTTGTTTTCATTTTGAAAAGTCACCTATACCATTTTGCAGAACAATTCGTTCCGCATTGAATGGTGTATTAATATGATCAAATGTCTCGAAACGAATCTATATGAAATTTTTCACATTGTTTGTCATCAAGTTCTATTAGTATACTAATTGAGTGTCCTCTAAATTGCTGTGTGTCATAGTCAAATTGACCAATCAATAATCTCATCATGTCCTATCATTTGAAATATTTAAATCTCCTTGAAAATAGTAATAAAAATTTTCGTCTTCAATCCCTGGTGAGGAGTACGAGAATGAACGATTGTAAAGATTAGTTTTTATATTATTTTATTCCTTAAGAATTATATTTTGAGTAGATGGGTATGATTACAATATATGTTTGGCTTCTTATGACAATTAAAAATTTTGCATATCGATATATTTCTTCAGCGATCTGAAAGCGAAAATTTGTTTGCTCTTTTCGAAATAATAATGCATATATGTCAAATCATACGACATGATGAACTTATTATTCATGAATAGAAACGTTTTCACTCAAAAGACATTTATTTCAAAAATCATATGTTTGTCTGCCCTTAGGCACTAATTGGCCGATTTGAGTATGACACACAATATTTAAAATAGTTTCATAGTTGATTATCTCTGTCCTCAAGAGTAGCATCGAAAAGTTTAAAACATCACATGACTGAAAATGAGACAAAACTCAATTGAAGTAACTTTAAACAAAACTTTATATATGCTGATTTAAAAGTCATCCTGAATCATAATATTTGTGCATATCATCCACAATTGCTATAATATCCCTTAACTAGTATATGTGACTTTTTAAATGAAGTGTGATCATCTTCTTCGATAGTGTTCTTTTGTTTTGGTAAATAATAAAATATTTACAGCATGTTCTTCATTAAGTTGATTGAAACGTTGAATATTTTCTTCAGGTGATGAATTGAATCGATCAAAATTAATTCCTTTAGATAAAACTTCTTCAGCTGTATTTATCCAATCAGCTATTTGTCCTAATTCACCTGGAAGATTTGAATCTAATTTAAATCTCCATCGATTCATTCTTTATATGTACACAAATAAGAAATTTAATGAAAAATGAATATTTTTTTTGTTTATTTTTTACCTGAGTGCAATATCATCAAAGAAATCTTTTAATTCTTTTAATTTTTCACCGGGAAAATGTGGAGATTTGGATTCTTTACGTTCGAATGCTTTCCATTGCTTTTGCTTTTCAATAAATTCTTTTAGTTGTTTTACATACTCCTATATAAATATAAGAAGACGTATATATACTTCTTTTTTTTTTTTTTTTCGTGTAAATATTTGTAAGATTTTGTTAGTTATTCAATAAGTTTTTCTTCTTTTAATACAGTTTCACACATTTTTTTCTCTCTCTGTTCCGTCCGTTTAATGAACGAGAAGAGTAAACATAAAATCAATAGTTACTTTGTATTCAGCTTGAATGTCTTGGATGGGTGCTTCAATAACGAGTGTTAAACGTTGTCGAATATCTGCTACCCATCGAAGAAGTTCTCCATGTTCTTTATTTATTGATCCGAATGGCTGATTCATCAAACAAAACAAAAAAAATCAATTCAAAAAAATAAATAAATAAATATACAAACATACTAAATCAGGAAATCGACGAGAGAATTGAGCAACATAAGTCATTATAGATTTTTCATCTGGTTTAACTACATCAACATCTATGAATGAAAAAAAAAAGACAGATAAGTCTATTCTATCATGTTGAATATGAACTTCTCGTAAGTGTCTTAACACTTTGAGTTCAATTGAAATTATTTCTAGACTTATGAAATCTCCTGAGTTCTTAGATTTTTACTTTAACTTTTAGAGACATTGTGCATCAATAAGAAAAAAAAGTAAAGGAAGATTTATCGCAATATTTAATAGATATAATTTCATGAAACTTCTTTTTTTCAGACAATAACTGACACAGAATGATACAAGACTTACAAGGAAAGTTCTCCAACTAATAGATCGTTTTTTGAGTCAAATCTATGTGCATTATGTAGATCAAAGTGAGCTACGAATATCCTGAGAACAGTTCGCATTCTCAACTTATTGTTGCAAAAATATTGTATTTGTACAATGTTTAAAGGGAGATATGAACGAGAATAGTTTATTACGAAAGCTTCAAATCAAAATTCAAAAATCATTTTTTCTAGTGTTGTTGAGGGGGATCACTACATTCGTTTAAAAAATATCGTAAAACTTCTATAATGTGAACACTTTCGAGATCAATTAGAAATGCTCGTAATTGGGAAGTTTTTGTTTCTTTTTTTACGATCTATAAATACTCGGTTGCAATCATTTTTTGACTGCACAAGATGATCTTTTTCCTTTTTTCGAACAAATAATTCATTCAACTTTTTTAATCAAAAGTAAATCAATTCATGTTGACATGATCTGATGTTACTAACTGTTAACACAAACACGACAAGGTATTACACAGAGTACTGTTGATGTGTAATATTGTTTTTGTTTTTCTTTGAAATATGTACATTCAGCCCATTCTACTTTTTATATATGCCCCATGATTGTTGATCATAATACATTACACATAACATCATTTTTTCCCTCTTGTTTTACACATAAGTGAAGATAATATGACAAAGAAAAAAGGTCTTAATGAAATGGGAGTTTCATTGTTCTTTCGAGGAAAAAAAAATTGCAAAATTGTCTTGTCTAAATTCAAATAAAAATCTTCTGATTTTCTTTTATGCTAAATTTACTCATTTCTGAAATTCATATTTGTCAATACTTGAACAGTCAAGATCAGTATCTTTTATTGATGACTATTGGCTATTCATTGATACTTATATTCTATATAAATTAAATTTTTTTAGAATTCGATGTAATCTACTAATAGCATCTAATAGTTCCTATGAATATGACATAGGTTATCACAATCTGAAAACATTTAGAATGAATGCGAAAACATCGGATTTAAATCCGAGTGTTATGTGTATTTCAAAAAGTGAAGAGGTATATTCACTTTGTTTTTTATCAACTGAGACATATCTAGACAATTTGTTTTCTGCATGTAGTTTTTTGTGCATTTTGAGACCTTTTTCAGGCGATGTTTTGTTAGAAAGCTACGATTTGGTTCAAAACTAATATCAGATTCGGAATCAGCGTTAAAAACTGACTCTATTTATATATGTTGTGAATAATTCTGGAGAAAATATTTTTTTTGAAAAAATCCCTGTACCCCCCCCCACCNTTATATACCATTTTGTAGTTCGTGAAATTCTCTATCGAATGGTATATAATAGTTGGGGTTTTATTTTGACTATGATAGGAAAAGTTTTTTATGAAAGCGGGTATAGGTCGATTTTCGCATAAGAGACCATAGGGAAAAATCAGTATTTTTGCAATAACTCAGGAAAAGCTCCTCTAATCAGGCTCATCTTCGAACTCGACCGAGACATTGATGAGACTAAACTGTAGAAAATTTCATCATGATCTGACTCTCCTTTCGAAAGTTATCGTGTATACGGCCGGAGGGCCATACTGACCGATTCTAGAGTGTACTCACTTTTTGAGTACACAATAATATATTTCATCATATTTCTTAAAATATAAACATTGATGTAGAATTTTTAGTTTGTTTTTGAAATAATCTCGAACTGCGAAAAATGTTAAATAAGTTACTCAATATGATTTTGATTTTTTCAAACAAACCTTCCGCATCAATTAAACGTGGTACACCAAGTTGTTGTTCAGCAACAGTAAATGCATTTTCTAATCTTTCACGAACATCCATTCGTGTAACACGACGTAAATCAACTAGATCTGGTCTAATTGCATGAATTAATGCATTAAAAGCAAGACCATCACGCCAACTCGATGTAAAATCTCGTACATCCAAACCATCAATTTGTCTAATAAAACAAAAAAAAACAACAACAACAAAATCTTATAGATCTTTCTTTCTATATGTTTGAGTAAGCAAATGTATTTCAAAGAAAATCAATGAGACAAAAGAAACAAGAATACATGCTCATACAAAGCTCACCTAAGCGATTCAGATGATGAATAATATCTAAATTATTATTTATTTTAATCAAGAGAAATATTGATAAAAAGAAAAATTTAATAAATAATAAAAACAAAATTTCCATAACATACCCTGATGTTTTCTTTCGAACCCATTCAAGTAGAGCTTCTTTGGCTTTACTACGATTATCTTTTGAATTTTCATCAAACATACTTGAATCTTCAATCTGTAAAAAAAAAAAAAGAAAAATATTAACAATATTTCATTTGTAAATTAGATTTTGATTGGCCATGAAAACTGCCAAAAAAAAAAAATAAGTTTGTCGAAATTATCGTTTATTTAAACATTCATAATAGAAATCATGTCGAAGATATATGCATCTATTTTTCACGAAACTATAAGATAAATTCAAAAACATAAAATCAAGATTATTTCAACTTTTCAAGTACATCTAGGATATATTTAATAGTCAATTCGAATATAATAAAAATCGCTCGAAAACAAAACTTTGAAGATCTTTTATCGTACATTACCAAAAATAAATAAACTTTAATTTATTTATTTATTTTTGTTCTTTATTAATCTATATTCGTATGCTGATCTACTTTGTTCATAATACAATCTATTGTATAATGAACAATCCTAAATGTACACTAATAGACAAAAAGTTTTCCTCCTACTAGATTTCAGCTATGACAGATACTAAAGATCTAAAACTTTGTATGCATATAATCCATAAAGAATGTAGATCAGAGTTATGATCTTGCTCCGATTGCTTAAATGTAACAAGAATAATAATGAACGAAGCCTATTTTTATTTCAAGGTTTTTTACGCGAAGAAGCTGCCTACTTGATGTTGCATTACTTTTTATCAAATACATCATTAATTCTTAATATTTTAATATGCAACTAAAGTGAAACGAATGGTAGATCATGTTATTTGCTGGAAGATTGATGTCTCTGACTTCCTGGAATTAATGCGATAATTATTGAATGTACATCAAGAAGTTTTTCACTCTTCAAATAGTCAGAGTTAAATGGCGACAATTCTAGCAAGGATTTATAGACTTCGATGAAATTGAAAACATAGTTGTGAATAATAATGAATCAGCTGATCCATGTTAGCAATTAGGACATGCTCATGGTTCTCATCTACATTTCTTAATGGATTATAGGCAGACGAATTTTCAGATCTTTAGTACCTTAGGATTTTTTGTTGTTTATAATGAATTTAATGAGATTATTAAGTGTACTTCGAAATAAAATATACTTTTTAATGTATGAATTTGTTTTGTTAATTTATATTGTCTCACTTTATTGCTTTTATAACTTAATTAATATCATTTATTCCATTGATAAAATCTATTCTTATTCGTATTTGTTTAAAAAAAAAAATCTTGGTCGTTTATTTTTTCTTTCTATCATAACGCTAAAACATATCTATGACTTAAAAGTTTGAAGAGATATTAAATACTTCTTTTTGTCATATGAACTCACTCTTATATTCATTGTAATATGAAGCGTTATACCTATTGAACATAGGAAATTTTATTCTAGGAATTTATTTATTTTGTAGGTTTTAATTTCAATTAAGAAATATGTTTGTAAAACAAAGATTTCTATCAAATATCTATAGTTTAAATATGAAATACAAATAGAATTCGTTTAAAAACTTCTTTTTTTTTATTATACCTGATAACAAAGAATTAACATCCATATTAAACCCAAAATCATCATTGGTTTTCCATCGACTATATCAATTGGACGTATATTGACTAGTTTGATCTTTAAATGATTATTTCATGGATGTTTAAATAAAGGTTTTTTATTTTTATTACCTTTCGACTTTCAAGATATTTCAATGCATTGTCTACATTACTAAGACAATGAGCACGTTTTTTTCCTCGTTCTATTGGCTAAAATAACAAAAAACATATATATATATTAGCATAAAATATTTTCTCATTTAAACTAACCAATGTTTGTCCTGAAAGAACTTCAAGTAAAGCAACAAGTTTTGTTCCATCTCGAAAATCTTCGAATAAATCATTGATATAGTATGTTGGTTCATGTAATGATAAATAAATATTAACCCATTTTGTAAATGTTTTCTTTTGAACACGTTCTTGTTCATCTAATTGAATACAATAAATATTAGTAAAAATATTCTTTTTTTATTCTTTGTAACCTGTTTGAAATGAAGTCGAAATAATACTCCCATTAAGTGATGTTTGTCTATTAAGACAATGACATGATCCTGGCTGATTACAACAAGGAGTTTTTAATTTTTTCTTGATCATTATTTTTAAACAAATGAAAGAAAGAAAAAAAAAATAAAACTAAATGATTACAAGGTTCTCTTCTTTTTTTTACATTGTTTTAAAACGAACAGATGCGCGCATCTGTTGATCATATCTCTAATCAACCACAAACGTTCCTGTCTTTTCTTTCTTTACCAGAAAAGGGGAAGAGAAGGAAAAAAAAACACATTTGATATATCTTACTTTGAAGTGTACTGATACTTTCTTCCAATTGACTACGAGTAGCAATTGATCGAGGACTAATAACAGTTGTATTTGGAATAATAGTTGTTACACGAGAAGCAGTTGGTGATGAAATTACTCGAGTTGGACTAGTCATATTTTAATCAATTATCAATCTTTAGAAATATATAAAAAAAATGAAGAATAGAAATTTTAATCAAAATACATTTCAAATAAATATATAACATTTGTACGCGAAAAAGAACAATGGACGGGGAAGAAGAAAAAAAAAAAAAGCTCTTGTTTAATCACATTTTTTTTTGTTTGCTATTTAAATTCTGATTCAAGGTATATCAATGAAAAAATGAACAATTTTTTTTTCTTTCCTTCTGTTGTCCCTCATTTTTTTTTCGATATAAAAGTAATTGAAAAAAATTCGAAAAATTGACTTTCGAAATAGATGCATGCGGGTATAGAGTAAGATTGAATGTAAGATCAAAACAATACGTTCATAATTTGGCTTCTTCATAAAATAAGATGAAATCTATACTTATTATATATATATATATGCAAAAGAAGAATATAAGCAACGAACAGAGACAGAAGACCAACGTTGAACTTTCTATTTTCTTTCGTATTTTATTCATTGTCATTGATTCTCACATACTTCGTTCACAATCAAAACTTTCAATGTCATACAAGCATGATGATTCAATTCTTATTCAGGTTTCTACAAATATGAAACGCACGTTCCTTATTATTCTCAATCAAATCTAATTTATTTTTCATCTAATAATGAAAAATTAAATAATTTAATTTGATTGTCTGCTTTCATTTGCTTGTCTACTTGCCTTGTTGAAATAGAAAAAAAAAAATTCGTTTCGATTTCATCATTCTATCGTCAACCACAAAAGGTAAAACACTTGACAGTTCAAGTGTAAGCATGTGGTTTTCTTTGATGTTATATATCTCTCTTTTTCTTATTTATACACATAGTAATGAATCAAAAAGAAAATAGTTTGTAGAAAAAAAAAAAAAGAAAATGAGAATTAGAGTTAAAAGTGTACATATAAATATTTTTTTTTCATTTGTTTATAAATATGAATAAAAAGAAGAAACGAATTGATTATTCATTTTTTACACACTTAAATTAAAACTACTTTTTTTTTTTTTTTTCTTTTCTAGATTTTGTTTAATATAAAATAAATAGAAATTATATCTTTAAGCATGAAATGAAATTATAAGATGAAAACTATCAATATCATTTCAACCTTGAAAATAATAAAAATTTGTTTTCAAATTATTTTATAAGAGAAACTAAAGAGAGTTTCATTCGTTTTCATCATAAGATAAACTGATCATAATGTAAAGAATAGTGCTTTTAGAATTTATAGTAACAAATGGTATATATTGACAAGAGTGACTCTTGAAATAATGTCTCGCCATCATCGAACAATTGTTCTAACGTTCATAAATATATTGAACAAGAATAGAGAAACTTTGATGACGTTGTTCGATAAAACAAACGAGTTTACACTTAAGAATTATTATGTATGTCTTGAATATGTGACAGATTTATTGTTTTCAAAATAAATAAGATTTATTTTTGTTCTTTTTGATAAAATCTCAAAAGTATATTAACATTATCAAACGAAAGGAAGAATAAGAAGTTGACAATACGATTTCGTGTAATAATACGTAACTAAGTTCAAAGAAAATATTCATTCTTTAGTTTACTCTTCGAACAAATGTTATCATATTCCAGCGATGGGCGAGCCAAATCATTTTTCGAGCAGAGTCGTCCCCGCGCCATCTCGAAAGGCTTCCGAGNAGTGGCATGTCTGTCTAACGGGCATGGAAGACCAAATAATTAACAAATAATTGCTTATAAACTGTATCTTTACACTGTTTTCTTGCATGAAACTTATTGTTTTACTTTATTTTTGAAACATCAGCCGGTCAACGAAGAAGTAGGAATAATTATAAGCGATTGTACAATAAAAATTGTTATTTCACCGAAACATTATTTTTTCAGGTATTAAATGAATACACAGAAACAATACTTTGTTAACGAGATGAAGTATCAAATTTGATCATTTTAACACATATATTTTTTATTTCGAATGAAAATTTTCACCAAAATTTCATTTTGAAACTTTGAGCTTCGATATGCTTTCGAAATCGGTGAAAATTTTTAACATAATAAATGTATTACAATTAGAAAAAATGATAATTTTATAGTATTTAAATGAACAATCACTTATGTTGATATGCATTCACAAAATGCACAATCTCTAAACGAAATAACAAACATAGATCAAGACAGCTGGTGTTAACCAATCAGTTAGCGTTCAGATTCTTCTTTATTTTAATAATACCATTCATCATCATGTTCTTGTGTAGTATGTGAATTAACCGATTAGTAAAGTATATGATTAAAATGAATAAGTACTTCGTTTCATGTTTTATCATCATCTATAGAGTTTTTCATAATAAAAACAACATATATGAGATATTTAGTTCGCTCTATATCATTATATCTAGTCTGTTTTCAAGTCCTTTTATAGGAAATTTTTCATTTGCATAAAATAAGATAAGTCCTTTACTTCACTTTCTCTTATATTACTGATCATAATAATCAGTCATAAGAATGAAGAGATGATAAAGACTACATTCTCATGCCCAAATTTGAATTTTTGTTTTCTTTCCTCGTTTGTCTGAATCACTCTCTTTTTCTTTCGCACAGGAGCTCGAATCTTTCTCAAATAGCATGAAAAGTCTGTACGAACACGAAACTCAATAATTCTTATCGTTGTCTTGTCATATAATTATTCTAACTCTTTTGGACTTTCATATATTCCTACAATCGTTTCATTTCCTTTTTCCATTTGCATGATGTTTTTTGTTTCTTCTGCATTGTTTAAAATCTGTCTACTTGTTTCATTCAATATCTTTTGTATTGTGTGCTTTCTACTTTCAATCTTAGGAAACGTTCTTTTTAAGACATAATCTTTTTACTTTGAATAAGTACATAAATAGATAGGGTAGTAAATAGACAGTTCCATAGCTAGTTCAATATTTAGACAGATCGACAAATAGATAGATAAATTAGTATATAGTTACCTAAATAGTTTAACCCAAGTAGCGTAGAAAGTAAGAATGTTGAAGAGAAACACATTGTTATCTACCCGTACACTCTCATTTCGACATGTTTGATTTAGGAAAATTTTTATGCTTGGATACTTTAAAATGCGACAAATCTACTAATGATTTTTCAATATTTACTATTTTGGTCAAAGTCAGGCTTCTAACTAAATAGCTAGATCGATGTACAGATGTAGTTAGATGGATAATCAGCTGACGAGACATTTAGGCAAATAGTTAGATTGTAAGAGAATCAGGTAGAAAGATAGATAATATCCGTTGCAGAGTTAAGAGGCACCAGGCATTTTTCGAATAACTGTAAAATGACAAAAACCAAATAGTTCGAGTTTTCATCACTCTATAATCGACACAATATTTTCTTGATTTTCTCATGTGACTCGTACTCAATTTTGAAGATGATCACTAGCGAATATGTATAAAAAATGTATTTTCATTGGTAATATGATGGCCTGAAAAATTTCTTAAACTTTCAAGTTTCGAAATATTGTAATATATGATCATTAGTAAGATCTTCATATCCCTTTCAAACAAAAATAGTAAGCAATTTCCGTCTTCTGTTGATTCATGGAAAAGATTCTGTCCTTTCTAACCATGTATTACAACAGTTGGAAAATAAGATTTTATCCAATTCAGATAGAAATCATCTTAATAACTCGCTATATGTTCAACATGAAAAAAGAGAAAATTCGTTGTTGATTTTGTAACCAGATGAAGCATTATCAACTGTAGATCCTGCTAAAATTCGTACTCTTTAGAATTTGTTGCTTTAAAGTCGTTCAAAAATGTCAAGAGGTAGTTACATCTACAATAGAAATTAGTCAGATAACAATAGATAGTTTGGTAGGTTATTAGATATATATAGTAGATAGATGGATAATTAGGTAGATGATTTATTTAGTTGCCAGGTAATTAGACAGGAAGCTTAAATCAGTGGCTAGATAAGTTTGTTTGATTAGTTAATGGGTACGCAGAAAGTTTTCTTTATCTATATGTATCAGTTATTAATATTATATGACTTGCCTTCATGAAGGCAAAATTTCTGGGAAAAATATGTCAGAAAAAACATAGAAAAACAGAAACAATAAATACGTCTACAATCACACGGAAAATCTGGGTTTTTTAAGATGCTAATCGCGGTTCCCAAGTGTCCCTTAGAAAGGTCTTCAAAATCAAGATGAATACACATTTGAAATTATGCGATGTGTAAACCAGGTAAAATTCGGTGTGTCATGAAAGTCAGTGTTACGTTAATAGTTACGGTATTCGATTGATAGTCATAAACGTTTGAAAAGCTCAGACAACTGGATGACTTCTTTTTTTTTTATCGTAAGAATGTATCCAAGAAAATGTGATGCATTATCATACTAAATATCAGGTACCGAAAAAAACTTTTTGTTTTTTTTGCTTTTGGATGACAATCAGGAACCACGGTTAGCATCCGGAAAAGTTCAAAAATTCCATTAGTATTTTCACGCATTTCTTCATTCTTTTGTCTGCTTAATTAGTTTTTCTTTGAAATTTATTATGTAAAAACAAATTAAACTAATAAAAGTATTAGTGTATGTATAATTTGAAAATTTTTCGTAATAAATTATTTGATATTAAACTAGGTCTTTAATGAAAAGTATACAATTGTAAATAAAATAATAATTATACCATAATATATGTATTTAGTAAGGAAAGTGTTCTACTTTTTCATGATGATATAAAAAGTGTCGAATAATGAATCACTATTATCCATTTCAAAATAGAAGAAGGCAAAGTATTTGTGAAATCATTTTTTTGATAGAAACAAAACAGAGATCTATGACTTTCACTCTTTGAAAATGAAAATAAAACTACATCGAATCGTATAAACCAGATTTTTTCGACAAGTTTTCTCAGAGTCTTTTATCATGTTGATTAGAAATGAAACATTGTGCAATCTAACGCTTTTAGGATTTTGATTTTAAGAAGTGCACTAGAATCATTAACTAAAGATCTATATATTTTATAAGTCCCATATTGTAAGTTTTGGCCAATCGTGAGTTATGAACATTTTACTACGTATTTTTCGGCAAGTTTTTCATAAACAATTGACTTTTTTTCTAAGTTTTTGATGACAAATTCAGCTTATAAACCTATTTAAATGGTTCGTTTTTTTAAACGACTTCATAAAAGACTCGAAGACAACTTGTCAGAAAAATTTGATATCTACGACTCGATGTGATTTCATTTCCTCTTTTAAACAGTTAAAATCATACATCTCTATATTTTTCTATGCATAAATTATTTCAAAATACTCATTCTTCTTTTGTTTTCAAACGATTGATAGTTTTTGATTTTTTCTTTCTATCATTTTGTATGTTTCATTCAAAATATTTTTATATGTACTGTTTGTTTTCAAAAAGAGTAAGAGACAGCGACATATTTTTATATACTGTGGACATCATAACTTTTTTGGTATACAAGAGTTCTTTTTCTTATTTCATCGTTTGAAAAAATCATAATTTTTTTTTTCTTGCATTGCGTATTATTGGTTGGTTATACTGTCTTACAAGTATTAATTTACAACATGGAGACCGAGACTGTGTGGTAAAAAAACGAGGTTTAGAATTTCAGTGCAAGAATCTGTGACTCTCCTGCAAGTTCCTACTTAGAAGACGCTGCTTCCTACCCAAAACATCACAAAAAAACCGTTAAAATTTGACGGCAACAATCCAGTGGCTAGTATGTTCTAATTTCGATCATTATGAGACAGAGCCGATCGTCGGATTTTCTTTTTTAGGTTCCTATCGTTGTGCAGAGTTTTCTCGTCTGAAACAGATTGTATTTATTGAGCTGGATATCTATGATTGTTTATATAATGTATTAAAGTCTCATTACATCATATAAATGATTTCTTACTTTTATGTGGCTCTCTGTTGTCTTGTTAATAGATAAACTCATCGCATAGGAATCGTTGACCTACAAATCCCGTATATCGACGAATGGCTCACTCCCAAAAGACATACCATTTTTATATAGAATATGCTAAAATTTAGCATATTTATACTTCTAAAACAGTTTCACATAAAATTTACTCTTCAGCATTTAATAGTAATATATTCACTTGTTGATTGCTTGCTGTAATCTATTCAAATTATGATTTTGTGTTTTAATTTAATATCAAGCATTATTTCAACATATTCAGCTTATTTAAGTTCCTCTCTCTTTTCATCTGCGACGCGATGGGTACAAAGAAGATTCATCTCTTCACATAACCACACACACTCTCTCTCGCTCTTTGATCATATAAAATCTACAACCATTTATTTTCACTAAAAACTTCCAATCTTAAAATCACTAAACGTAAAAGAAAATTTTCTTAAAAAACTTTTATTTCTTATTCATACTTATTATTAATAAATAGAACAGAATAATCAAATTCTTTCGATAATCACAACAAATAAAATAAAAGTTAATGACATTCAAGACATCAATCTTCTTTTCTCTACTCAACACTCTTCTCATCTCATTTTAACACAACTTGTTAACAGTTTTTCGAGAAACTATTATAGCACATGGCTATGCAACTAATCATACAAAAATAAGATTATTTCAATTTTAACATGACACGTTCAATGTCTTTTTTAATTTCGATTATATTTGAATGTTGAGGTGGTAAAGACTGATAATAGATAGTGGCTGCTTTTTTATAATATTCTAATGCTTCTTTCAAATTATTCACCGTCTCATATAACTGACCAAGTTTTTTATTACTCGAACCAATGTCTTGATGCTGAGGAGGTAATGATTTCATTCTAATATCGAGCGATTTTCTGTAATGGTTCAGGGCATTCTGATATTGGCCAACAATACGATAAATATCACCTATGCCAACATGATTTAAAGCTGTATCTGGATGATTAGAAGATAAGTGCTGTTGTTGAATATTCAATGAGCTTTGATAATAGTTCAATGCATCTGAGTATTGCTTCCAAGCACAGTAAATACGAGCAACACCATGATACCAAGAGGCCATATCTGGATGATTCGTAGCATTCGCACGATTGTAGCAATCCATTCCTTTATTGTAACATTTCATCGCTTCATTGAAATCATTCTTTTCTAAATGAATATTCCCAATACAACAATGCAGACCACCAATATAGATCAAATCAGATGGTCCCGTACGAATTTTCCTTTCCAACGCTATCTGAAACCAGTGAAGACTGCGATCAAAATTCTTTCTTTCTTTATACAGCATTCCAAATGAGAAACATAACTGAGAATATGAAGTATCATCGGAAGAATACTTTTGAGACAGATCTATATATATTTTCTCTGCCGAATCATATTTTCCCATATGCTGTAGTACATCACCAACAGATTTAAGATCAACTTCGTTCTCACCACCTCCATAGTCTGCCTTCAATTCATCGAAAAGTTTTTTCAACTCATTATCATTAACTTCTGCTAACTGCATTTGAATTATCCAGATTTGTTCATTATCATCCCGATAAATATTAGTCAAACGAAATATACATCCAACCATAAATAATATTTCAGACTCCTGCTTGAAGTAACTGAGTAAACTAATATCAGCGAATGGTTTTGATTTCACAACATGAGGATCAGCTGTAATGTCAAATAATATTCGATGTAAATCATTCGAAATCATCGAATGATTAGAAAATTTTAATGCTACGTCACGATCAGCAGTAGTCGAAAAAAATGAATTAATCGAGATCAATTGACCGATCGATTGTTTAATAGTATTCAACTCATCAGCATACATACTTTGATAACGATACACCCGAACAGAATTTTGACATTGATGTTTTTTCAATTGTTGAAAAATGTCATGAATTACAAAACGAAATAGTAATAATAATTCAGTGTTTTGTACTCGCAAAGCTTTGTTTAACATTCTATATAAAAATGCATCACGAGTATACCACCATATAGCTTTTTTAGATTTATATTTAAGTTCAAATTCACGAATGATATTTAGTTCATAGTCATTGTCATAAAATTTATCTTTGCAAACTTCAATGAATTTATTTTTGTCAGCATCCTCAGGTTTTATTCGAATAAGAACATCGATTAATAATAGTGAATGAATAAAATGACCATTAAGTTCAGTTGTGGATTTATCTTCATTACCACTAATATTGTAAATATACACAGACATTGGTTCTTCCAGTTTTCCTCGATCTTTTTGATCGAGTGTGATTTGATTAATCAGATCATCAAGCTGAACGAGCACACCTTTTATCTTCAAGAAATAAATGAAGAAAATTAAGAAGTCGGAAAAAAAGAACTTCATACTTTATTAAACTGTTTAGCCCAGTGTTTATATGCTTGTTTATCCCAACAATAGATATAAACAGCTGAGATCTGTCGAAGATGATGAATGTGAGGAATTAATTCTTTGCTTAATCGTCCACTAATGATAAGAACAATTCGATCTTGTTCAGAGGAAGACGTAATATATTGTTGACATTCGTTTTGATCATGAAATATTATAAGATGATTGATAATTGAACGAAGTCGCTTTTGGGCATGCTTGTTCTCTTCTTTTGTATTGACTTCTGCATCAAGCCAAAGAAGAGAAAATGTTTCCACATTATCACTGTTTGTTTCAACGATTGTATTCTTCGCAGTAGTCATATATGTATGAATGATAATATTCGAATCAAATATTTTGGTATAAATATGTTGTCCTTATCGTTTTATTACTTAATGTGATATAATGTATTTGCCCACATGTACATTTCACTCTCTTTTTACTTGTTTTTTTCATCGTCTTTATCGTGTAGGTGATCATTTTCGTTTCTTTGTCGAAAATTATTGATGTACGAAATGTGCAGATAAACAAACCCACGTTTTTTTCACGGCCAATAGAATGATAGAGTTTGAATCATCACTTGTCATTTATCTATATATTTTGACTATACGACTAGTTGAATGTAAAAATGCAATTTATTTACAAAAAGATTCCCATTTTGTAATTTGAGTACATGTATTGAAACTGTAGAAATTCTTTTTTGTTATTTTGCAGTATTTCATCAAATCAAGTAATACGCCCATATGTTTTTCTTATTTACTGAAATAAATATTCAAAAGAATTAAAATATTTTTTTATCTTTGGAAATAAATTAATTTGTTTTTTTTTTAATCAAAAATCGACTGATAAATATGATTGTTTTCTGTCAAAAGTCTAAAAAGAAAGCTTTTGTTTATCGACGACTAAAATTAATAGTTGAATAGATCGAACACATGTTACGTGACATTCCAAAAAAATGCCAAAAAATAATCATCAAGATAGATAAATAAAACTAGAAGTTACTGTTTGCTCACCACTCAGAAATTATTTTAATTGCGTTTACATCAAATAATATCATAAGAGGCTTGATCTATGACTGTCACTGTGTCTTCTAATCAAGCAATGATTTAGAAATTTAGATAAACGGACAGAATTTAGTTTGGTTTATTGTTGTGATAAAAAGAAACTTTCTGCAGTAATGGATAAATTGGGTTACATGAATTTCGGTCCACGGAATTTTCAGCTCGGATTTTGGGCCCGATCCGAAATTCCTGTAGGGCTTTCGACGCGTGACCTGATTGACGCCGAAAATAAAAAACTTTAACATTTTAAATTAGTTGCTGGGCGTCGTAGTGCCTATCAGAATGCCATGGCGCCCAGCGATATGGCGTAGTACTGAGCAGAAAGTCATAAGGCGTGTGAATGTGAATTAAACGAAGAATCAGACACCCCACACTCGCCCCCCACTTTCACGTCGATTATGACGTCCTGCTCAGCACTACAATGCCAGGGCAGCTGTTTTTAACAAATTAATCTTTTTTCTTTGGGAATCAATGAGGTCACGGACCGAAAGTCCTAGAGGAATTTTGGCACGGCCCGAAAAATCATCGGAATTTCGGACCGAGCCCAAAGCCCAGGCCGAAATTCTGGTCTCCACATAAATTCGATCTACGAAATAGAACAATCGAGTATCTCTTGTGTTGGGAGTAATGAGAGTTCAATTATTATGTGTATTTTTATATATTAAACGAATACATATATGTAGAAGGAAAGCTCAAAATATATAAAACTTTTCATTCATAAAATAACAGCAATATTTGAATTTAAGAGTGTGGATGTGAATAGATATGGGGAAGTCCTTCACTCAATAAACAGGCATTTACACGCACTCAGAGTCATATGTTTACAAACACTCACACATATTTGCTGCCATCCGCACGCATAAACTCATCCAAAACCGCATAGACCGTCATCTGTACTCAAAATTGCATTTTAAGCAATTCCGATGAAAAACAAAGAGTTTTTTACTATCCCCGGATAAAATGGTTAAGATTTGTATTTGGACTATTGTTCATTAACAAGAGTTTTATGGCTTTATGTACTATTTTAGCTATAACGTTCAGTGCATTCGATTGCACCAATAGTGAGTACAGACATGACCGAAAAGTAGGAACTTCTTTTATAATTAATACATTCATTATTTGAGTGCAGTTTAAAAAAGAACTTGATACAGTATGTGCCGACATAGATCAACACATGCTCCATCAATATGAGATACAGAAATGGCTTCTATTTCGAATGCTAATTAGCTTTGTCGAGATTGTGGTTGAACATTAAAGGATGCAGAAACTATTTCACGAGAAGGTTAATTCACTGAGACTTGCTATTGATAAACACTTTTTTCATCGTGATCGTTCGATAAAGTCAGAGATGCCGGAAACCGCTTATTCTTCAACCCATGGGTCAACTCAACCCAGCTGATTTCTCTGTGGGTGAGTTCCAGCTGAATTGCAAATTTTTTTTCAGCCCATGGGTTGTGGAGTTGAACTGAGCAGCTTGAACCTTACCCATTAGTAACCCAATAGAGAACCTTGGCTATTGTGGCTTCCAGTTTTCTTTTATATATGGATGCGAATAAAATTTTCAGTATGGCTATGTAAAGGTTGTTTATAATATGTAAGTGATCGCTCTATAGACTATGAAATAAAAAAATATACAGATTGTTTTAAAACGTCCTTGAAACAGTAAACCTATGTCTGTTGGACAACTGAAGCGGTTTCTATATATTTTTGTATGATGATAGCGAGTTTGTTGAACTTTTATTTGGCATACTTTCTGATATATGCATGCGTCTATAAACATAAGGAAAAGAATAATTTCATTATCGTCCATTTTTAGATCATGTACAATCATAAAACCGAAATTTTTCATCGCATTCAACACCGAAAGAATTAGAAATATGCTGAACTAAAAACACTTACAAGGTTTTTATGAAACAACGTAGTGCTGCTACAGAGTAACAAAGTCCTGAAAACGCTTTATAAAATGCAGAAGAAAAGTAAAATTAAACGAAGATTGTAATGCTTGACTAAATTGATCACGATACAGGATTCAGCATTTTATAACATTTTGGTGATTTTGATGAAAAGTTTTTCATTAGACTAGGGTACTCCATTGGTTTCATCGATGCCATAATTATGCAAATTGACATAGAATTTAAAGATAATAGTTTGCAACTTTTACTTCAGATATACAAAAACTTGATACTACTAGTAGAGGGTAGTAACAATCAATAGAATTTATTTATTTTTGAAGGAAGTCTTTTTTCAATTGAATGAGTGAATTCACTAGTAAAAATAAAGTAAAAGCTAATGTCTATCTGATATTTATTGAATATGAAATTCAATTTTACATGAACAAAGAACATGGAAGAATTTAGAAAGCAAAACAAAAGGCATAATAAACGATATAGTGAAATCTATTTCGACGGCGAAAAAAAGAGAAAAAAGAAGATGAAACATGCTTTATGTATGTGATATTTGATCATCAGTCCAAACAATAAATATCAAGGAACTGATTGATCACATATGTCGTATGATGACGACATCCTCATTAAACAAGCCTTTTCGTATATCATCTCTTAAAAATATAGATTACTTCATGGGTTCACTCGAGGGTAACCCTTGGGTCAACTGACAAAATTTACCTTAAAATTTAGATGGGTGGGTCAGGTTTGAAATTTTTCAAATGGCCTGTCGAACCTACTAGTTTAGGTTAGGGCTCACTCATGGGTGCTCCAACCCAATAGGTGTCAAGCCAAATGAATTGATGATAACTGGAAACTCTGGCACAACAAAATTTACTAACCCGAACTTCAATGAACTGATGTTCGATTTTGCCAACAAAATATAAGAAAGAGTAGAATATTTAAATGAACAAAGCGCAAACTTGTAAGTGAGACTAAATGCACAAGAAAGTAGCCGTAAATGTAGACAAACGAAACATGTTAACTTTGAACTAGTGGTGTCAGCGTACCTGTTTTGGAGCATTCTTTTTTTAAGGAACCGAAGCACATCGCATATTATATTTCATAGTTTTGTTGCAATATACTGAGAATTGTGTACTTCTTTGCGGTTTTGTGAAACACGATCTGAAAGCAGTGTTGAAGTGTTTAGGGGTAGAAATTTGGACCCCCCCCCCCCCCCCACCCTTTTCACACAGGGAATTTCCCCGCCCCAAAAGGAGAAATATCCCACCCCAAGAGGGCAAATT